TTTGGGAGACAAAATACTCTTATGAATGATGTTAGAGTTCATGTTATTTTTTGTAAGACGGTGCAATAGAGTTAGACAAAGAATTAATGAAAGGTGATCTTTATGAAAACATATTTTTGAATTATATCATGAATTTCCATATGTGAAATTGACATAAATTATTTGCAGAGAGATGGCGAGATGGTTTCTTTTTATCAACTAAATCTGATTAGATAATATGAATTGTTGTTTTAGAGTCTTGTTTATGTTTCTTGGGCGGACAGATGAATGTTTATTTCTTTTGTCCATCTGTATTATTTTACGACTACAGTCTTTATTTTTCTTAATGTCATCAGATAGTAGGCCTACATTGGACAAGGACAGACAGTAATTTCCTTAATGTCATCACAACTTAGGCCTACATTGAAAAAGGACAGTCTTTATTTTCCTTAATGTCATCACAACTTAGACCTACATTGAAAATGGAAGTCTTTATTTTCCTTTAAGTCATCACAACTTCGACCTGCATTGGAAAAGGACAGTCTTTGATTTCCTCGATGTCATCAGGTTGCATTGGACAAGGACACTCTTTATTTTCCTTAATGTTTTCAGAACTTAGGCCTACATTGAAAAAGGACAGTCTTTATTTTCCTTAATGTCATCACAACTTACCGGTAGACATACATTGCAATAGGACAGTCTTTGATTTCCTTAATGTCATCAGCCTGCATTGGACAAGGACACTCTTTATTTTCCTTAATGTCATCACAACTTAGACCTACATTGCAAAAGGACAGTCTTTGATTTCCTTAATGTCATCAGGCTACATTGGACAAGGACACTCTTTATTTTCCTTAAAGTTGTCAGAACTTAGGCCTTCATTAGAGAAAGAGGGTCTTTGTTTTCCTTAATGTCATCTCAGTCTTACAGTTTCCATCTCCAGTAAATATATTTGTCAGCTGGGTGAAATTGGCAACATGTCATGAAATCTAATATGTTGAAATTAACACACTTTTTGAGGACAATAAGTGAGTGTTCTAACATCACTTATATACGAGGTCATCCTTTATCTGTAAATAAATCATTCTGAAATAGCTATCAATGTTTGTAAAGCTCAGTGGATGTTAAATGTTATATGCAAAATTTGATATTTTTTAATGCCTTTGAAAGATTCCATTGTGATTCTAGGAACCCCTCTAACATAGAAGATTATCTGTTAAGGCATCTATTTTAAGCTTCTTTTAAACTGCAAACTCTTAAAGGTCTTCTGCATCTGTTCTAATCTTGCTAGTAGAACCAGTGTACTTGGATTGATAGAAATATGCTCCATTAGCCTTAAAGAGCACCTTTGATACACATGTATAAGTAAAACACCCAGTGGTGTTTGATAACTGTAATTTGAAGAGAAGTTGTTGGTTGGCCAATTTGGCACTGTGAAGTATTCATGATCTATGTGTATGTTTGTATCATGTCAACAACAAAGCCATCTTCTTGTATTGACATGTCATGGACATGTACGATACATGATACACAGATCAAGCTTGTCTTTTGGTTTAGTGTTTATTTTGATATCTCTCTTATGTTCATTTCAAGATGTTTCCTTGGGTACTGGTCAGTAATTGGATGACTGGTCTTTTCCTAAGTGGCAACTTATTTTCTGGAGTCGCAGTTCATTTTTGGGACTATGGTCTTTCTCTGGGTGAGGGGTCATTTATTTGGGGAAGATGGGTAAAAAGGTGGAGGATGGTTGGATTGGGAGTTCAGGTGGTGGTAGGGATGGATGGATGGATGGATAGTGAGGATGGAAGGGATAGTGAGGGTGGGATGGTGAGGGTTGGTGGTAGAATGGGGAGAGTGAGGTGTGGTTGGATGGTGAGGGTGGGGGAGCGATGATGAGGTAGGGAGGGATGGTGAGGCTGGGGGTAAAATGATGAGGGTGTCGGGAGGGAGGGTGTGGCTGGGGGGGGGGGGAATGGGGAGAGTGAAGTGTGGATGGATGGTGAGGGTGGGGGTAAAATGATGAGGGTATTGGGAGCGATGATGAGGTAGGGAGGGATGGTGAGGCTGGGGGGAAGAATGGGAAGAGTGAGGAGTGGATGGATGGTGAGGGTGGGGAAAAGATGATGAGAATTTGGGAAAGCTGCTCTCCATTGTCTAGTGGAGAGCGGAAAGTCTGTGGTTTCGATCCCCAGACGTTTCATTCCAAGAGACATTAAAAGATGGTACTTGTTGTTACCCTGCCTGGCACACGCACATACACTCACACACACTCTGGGACTCCTCTCACAATAATCACAATTGTTTTTTCCACCATAAATGATTTTACTTTGACCATAACACACAGTGTACCCTATCATACAACATGGATTTTACAAAAGTACAGAACTAAATTGCCATTCAGCATGCAGTCTTCAAAGGGAGAACTCAGTGTATGTTTGACCCCACATCACCCTGTAACTAAACAGCCTTAACAACAAAGCTTACATCTGGATCTATAAGACTCATTTCACATGCTAAATATGCTTACCTATCCCTTACTCATACTCTGCAAGCCTCCTCCCATATTGGGAGCCGTTAACAGCCTAATGTATCACAGGCCCCGTTCAATCAATACAGAATAATAGCATTAACATAATATTTACTGCACTGCACTGCCCGCCTATAGCTCTATTCAATAGAATGCAATTTTGGTAATATGATATTTAAGTGAAATTGACATGATATGAACGAGGATATTTGCATGATTCTTGCCGGAGTGCTGATCTATGCATGGTGATAGGACCAGGGATTGCCATGATTGTCTGCATTGGGTGGGGGAGGGGAGAGAAGGGGGAGGGATGTATTTGTGGATGATTTGGAGGAGTAGGGTTATTTGGTGCTGAAGACTCACAGAGTCATTTGGGTAAGAAAAATAGATGTTTTCAGCGATTAGGTAATAATTCTGGTTTGATATTTTCAAGGTGAAATTGAATCCTCAGCTATGGATGTATAAATGTCAGTAATGACAGGAAATGCCCCATTTCAAGAACTTTTTAATCCATCTCATAGTTTCTGATAAAATGTCCTGATGAGATTAATGTCTGTGTTAAGATATCTTTGGAATCACGTTGATGTCATTTATTACAGAGGTTTGGGGATTCAACACTGAAATAGTCACCTTTAGTCAGAAAATGACGTCTGCTCTGATTAAATGAATGTTGAATTAGCCTATAAGAGTCATTTGTAGGTTTTATAAGAATGAGATAGAGCTTGGCAGTTACGTAAAACCTTCATTGCCTTTTGAACCCTTTAAGATGGCTGGTGTAGATGCAACATGTGGTTTGGGAGTGATAATCATTGGCATACAGAAACGTGAACCTACACTCATCACAACCAGCTAAGGGAGCTAATGTTGATGACGATTCAAACAAAAAGTGTGTAATGGACATATGCATTAGATGTGATATGAGGTGAGGTGAGGGGAAATGGGGTTTAACGTCGCGTCCAAGATTATTGCACTTATATAGCGACGTGCATGTACATGTGTGTGTTTGTGTGAGTGCTTGTACTAGTCCAGACTGATGCCGATTTATAGTGCTAGTCCACTGAGATACCATCCTGCAGTTTAACATGAATACCCCACTCAGACACAGTATACTGACTCCGAGCCGACCAGTCCTTGTTTTAGCCCCTTATATAATGCCGAGCGCCAGACAGGGTAACAACAAGTACCATCTTTTAACGTCTTTTGGTATGACGCGGTCGTGAATCGAACCCCGGACCTTCCGCTCTCTGGGCGGACCCTCTACCCCTAGACCACGGAGGTGGTCCAGATGTGATATGACATGCACAGGCTAATCCAGAGGGGGCCCAAGGGGTCTGGGACCCCCCAACCTTTTGAAAAATGTAGTATGTTGTAGGGAGTAAAATTGACTGATGGAGAATTTTCTGACCTTGACATATATTGCAGCAGCAATGTGCAGATTTTCCTAAGGGAGTTCAGAAGGTACTTTGATTTACCCAGTAGGTGTTTGGTAACTATGATTGTATAAATTTCTATTAGCTATGCCCCAAAACATGAGATTCAGATTGTTAGTTTGGATGGATAGCTCAGTCACCTTGAATTTGCTTTGCGGAGTTGCATTCCTTGGATGTGCAGGATCCTCTACTGATCATAGGTTTGAAACAAAGATTGCTCCGGTTTCACCAGTATTATCCATTCCATCCAGTTTCATTCACCATAGCGGTAAGACTGCCTTCCTGGTCTCATGGATAGAGTGTCTGCCCAGAGAGTGGAAAGTTGGTGGTTCAATCTCACGTCACATCTTAACGTTGAAAAAAGGTACTTGTTGTTGCCCTGCCTGGCTCTGTGCATTAAGAGAATGAAACAAGGACTGGTCAGGTGGTTCAATCGCACGTTGCTTCATACCAAAAGACGTTGGAAGATGATACTTGTTGTTACCCTGCCTGGCACTCTGCACTAAGGGAATGAAACAAGGACTGGACTGATGGTTCAGTCTCACGTGGCGTCATACCAAAAAACGTTGAAAGATGGTACATGTTGTTACACTGCCTGGTACTCTGCATTTCAAAAGATGTTGAAAGATGGTACTTGTTGTTACCCTGCCTGGCACTCTGAATTAAGGGAATGAAATAAGGACATGAGGGTTCGGAGTCAGTACACTGTGTCTGAATGGGGTTATCATGTCTGTCTCAAGGTAGCTCAGCAGACTAGCAATATAAAACTTAGTCCAGACTTGTTCAAGCGGCCACACACACTTATTTATGCATGCACATTGCTATGTAAGTGTAATAATTTTTAACACACCATTAAACCCCATTCCACCCCAAATCACCATAGCAGTAAAGGTCAAAGAACTGCATCACGTCAGGATTTCCTGCCACAGTAAACAGACATGTCATGATATTCATGATAATGGTTATATGTAGTTTTAAACTCTTTTAGATGTCATAATCAGCCTCCAATTTCAGCCATTTCACATCATGTTGCACAATATTTGACAATTTTTTTTATATTTCAGGCATCCTCGTTATACTGTTTGGTCACCGAATATGCCTCAGGCGGCGAACTGTTGGCATATATCAAAATGCATAAAGACTATCGGCTGTCGGAGGATAAATCTCGTACATTTGTACGTCAGATGGTCTCAGCAATACATTACCTCCATGAGAGGGGCGTAGCTCACAGGTAGGAACTGTTAAAAATATATATTTCTTTAGAATTTCATTTGCAGTCCTTTTGGTGCCAAGCCTGTTGTTCCAATCCTGGATACCACTAAGGGATTTTGTGAATTTGGTTAGAAATGTGGGCTGGCATGTTGTACATTTCATTCTCACACTTGTCTATTTCATGTTGTGTGTTGCATATTGTGTTCTCATTAGTGTATATCTACATGCTTGTACATTACATGACAGCAACAACTCCATCACATATACATGGCATATCTTTCAAGACAACATGTAACAAATCATAAACATATTTTTAAAAAGACATGCATATGTTTTTTATGATTTCTTTTTTCATGTGCGAAGTTCCAACTGTTCAAACAATGTGCAAGACCCATAGTGTCTTAAATGCAATAGACATGGTGGATAGAAATGTCATCTGTCTAAAAACAAAAGCAATAACAGTTTACAAATAGCAATAAGCACAATAGACATGTAAATATCACCTGTCAATAAAGATGCCTGTGTCATTACAGAGTTCCCAGAAATGTGATTAACATTTGGAATTCACTCCTTTTGGAATGGATATTTTTGGAAATGACATTTGGTCTTCTCATCTTGACAATGAAATGACCAACATTGAAAATGCATGGACAAGAAATGAGAAATGTTTTTTGTTTTTTGACATCTTTCATATGAAGATAAAAACATTTGCATTTTTCGAGTACCGTACATGACCGTAGATGAGCCGAATTTTGAGGACCAGAAAAAAGATTCTGTAGAAAGGGTCGGCTTATGTATGGGTTACATTTCATCAAACTCTATTTCTGTTGGTGAAAAAACTACATTGCATCGCTTCAGGTGAATGAACAACGCTACAACAAACTTTGTCAATGAAAATGTGAAATTTGCATTTAAACATCACTAGACATGATGATTTACCATTTCGATTGTATTTTGTGTTATGCTAGGCTAGACTAGGGATAAAGATTACTGAGATGATCGGAAAAAATAGTATCTTAAGTTACTATTTTACTACAAATAATATATTCTGATATTGTGTTATTTTAATTGCAGGTTTTACAATATATTTCAAAATAATTATAACCACAACCTGGGTTATGCAGTAGCACAATTTGACAAATCACCTTTAAGGTTTCGCCCGATCTCTCTAATTTCCATCACAGAAACAACATGTTGACATTTAATCGCCAAACTACAACAAATCCCCGTAAGGATAACATCATCACCATAGTGGAAGCTGACAAAGGCATAGCAGCGGTCGTCATTCCAGCCATCAATGCTACAACAAATATTACTTTTGATGAGTCAAAGTATGGCAGTTATGATATATGTATCCATTTTCTGTCAACAAAGGTTCATTTCAAGGTGTCAATAGCGGTAATATGATCGTGGTTGTAGTAAATAACGGTGAGTTGGTAAAGCGGACCTTATGGAATGGGGCCAACGGGAGTTGTAAGAACAACAAAATTAATGTAAATATTATTGATTAAAATAATAAAATAGATTACTTAGATTAAAAACATGAGTCCAGATATACAATTAAACATTTATTATAACCGATGGTTTAACAACACGATTAACTTATTAATTCAATACAGACATGTTGATATTCTATTTTCGATGACAGATCACATCGAGACGTAGTTTTAGGGTGGGAGTCCGGCTTGTCTACCGCACATAACATTTTGATACAGATTTCGGCTTATCTAAGGTCATATACGGTACATTCGTAGAATATCATCATCGTTACAGGTGCGCATCCTCAGTTACATGGATTTACACAAATTGTAAAAAACATTCTCTGCTATGAAGAATGTGCATCCACACTGAAGACAAAATCATACATTCACACTAATAATCGTGTTTTATTTATGGCATTCCATCGCACCGTTGTAAACAGCAATCTTTTTTATGTAGAGAATGGATAGAAACATGTCCTTAAAAGAATAGGCTTTTTTATTATCTATTGAAATATGCATATATTTTGAACGAATAAAAAACACACTTTAAGATGATTTTTTAATGTTGCTTGGTAATTAACTTTGAAAATGAACCAATTCCATTCCTTCTATCTACTTCAACTGCAAATGCAGAACCAACTGATGTTTTCCTTGCATCTTTCATACTAATTGACCCGTGAAGATCCGGGGTAGATTAGGTTTTCAGCAACCCATTCGTGCCGTAAAAGGTGACTATGCTTGTCGTAAGTGGCGACTTACGGGATCGGGTGGTCAGACTCGTTGACCTGGTTGATACATGTCATTGTATCCCAATAGTGTGGATTGACTCTCATGATGTCAATCACTGGATTGTCTTGTCAAGACTCGATTATTTAAAGATCGCCTTCATATAGCTGGAATATTGCGGAGTGCGGCGTTAAACAGCAATCAAAATCAAACCACATCATACTTATTGTCAAAAAACACAAATAGCCGAATGCAATTTTTCACACCTGTCACATACAAAGAGGATTATATATGATAACAAAATGTTTTTGCAGTAAACAGGTAAGTCATACCAAACATTGTTCAACAGAGAAGTTCAAGCTGGAGTGATTTACTGAAGAATCTGGAAATTACAGGAACTGAACAAGGCTGAACTAGCAACCGATTCCATACTTGATTACAAGAAGCCCTTCCTGAAAAGGCAATATCATAATTTATGAGATAGCTCTGTAAAATACCCAGGAATGTATAGAATTAATTATTTAGAAGTCATGATTAATAACCATTAATTTAGTATCCCAAAAATATATATATTGGTGCAGTGCATTAAGTGGATATTTCATATCACAGATATGGCAAAGCTCTACCTGGCTATATCATGTTAGCAGTATTGATTGTGTGTAGCTAAGTGCGAGTAGTATGTCGATTACTAGAATTTCCAATAGCGATAGATTTTGTACAGTTGGCATTGTCTCTTCCATTGTGGTGTCAAATCGAGGAACATAGTTAGTGTGTTTACGGCTTGCCACCAGCTAGTGATTTGCACTCAACTATCAGCTTTCGGAAAGTATTCACACATCTCTCCCTCGGACTTTTAAATTATTCACTTGGTCAAGGTCGACCATAATGAAGGATGTGTTTTGGTGTTGTGTTCTATGTCCAGGAACAAGTTTTTTGTGAAAACAATTGTTTTGAGGTTTTAGTTAAGTTATGATTTCAGAATTGAGTTTTGATGTTCCTTTTATCTGCAACATTTCATTGGAAACAAAAACAATTAAATTTGCTTCAAATATGTCCCATTTGTATGTTTGCTGTTTGAAATTTGTTCCTGGCAAAAATGAACTTTTAGTTTGTTTTTCCCTCCTGTCAGAAAAACAGGGAATTTCTGAGGCATTATTTTATCTGATTTATAGTGTATTTTTGAAGACTTTGATACCATCACTGTGTAAACATGGATGAGATGGTAGTAGATAGCTAGTGTTTAAATGTCAAGGCTGCAAGCTGAAAATAAACAATTTTATTCTGTCATCAGATATTAAAATCTGGGTCCTAAAAACCCTGATTGACTAACATAGAAACAAAATTGTCTTTTCATCATCATACTTCAAAGGTTGCCAACTACTAGTTTCTTTTTAATTTTTAGGAGTATTGAAGTTTATTGCTTGTGGAATACTTGCATAGCCTTCCACTGCTATGATTATGTTTAGGGTGGAGAGATACTATATGTTCCTCCATTTAAGGTAGCCATGATTATGTTTAGGGTGGAGAGATGCTATATGTTCCTCCATTTGGGGTAGCCATGATTATGTTTAGGGTGGAGAGATGCTATATGTTCCTCCATTTAAGGTAGCCATGATTATGTTTAGGGTGGAGAGATGCTATATGTTCCTCCATTTGGGGTAGCCATGATTATGTTTAGGGTGGAGAGATGCTATATGTTCCTCCATTTAAGGTAGCCATGATTATGTTTAGGGTGGAGAGATACTATATGTTCCTCCATTTAAGGTAGCCATGATTATGTTTAGGGTGGAGAGATGCTATATGTTCCTCCATTTAAGGTAGCCATGATTATGTTTAGGGTGGAGAGATGCTATATGTTCCTCCATTTGGAGTAGCCATGATTATGTTTAGGGTGGAGAGATGCTTTATGTTCCTCCATTTAAGGTAGCCATGATTATGTTTAGGGTGGAGAGATACTATATGTTCCTCCATTTAAGGTAGCCATGATTATGTTTAGGGTGGAGAGATGCTATATGTTCCTCCATTTGGAGTAGCCATGATTTTGTTTAGGGTGGAGAGATGCCACATGTTCCTCCATTTGGGGTAGCCTTGATTATGTTTAGGGTGGAGAGATGCTATATGTTCCTCCATTTGGAGTAGCCATGATTATGTTTAGGGTGGAGAGATGCTTTATGTTCCTCCATTTAAGGTAGCCATGATTATGTTTAGGGTGGAGAGATACTATATGTTCCTCCATTTAAGGTAGCCATGATTATGTTTAGGGTGGAGAGATGCTATATGTTCCTCCATTTGGGGTAGCCATGATTATGTTTAGGGTGGAGAGATGCCACATGTTCCTCCATTTGGGGTAGCCTTGATTATGTTTAGGGTGGAGAGATACTATATGTTCCTCCATTTGGGGTAGCCATGATTATGTTTAGGGTGGAGAGATGCTATATGTTCCTCCATTTGGGGTAGCCATGATTATGTTTAGGGTGGAGAGATGCTATATGTTCCTCCATTTGGGGTAGCACCTTGTCTTGTGTACAGTGGAGAGGCCACAATTCAGGCGAGGTTGAGCAACATTGGTTGTGGAGAGGTGGATGGGGACTCCTAGCTTCACTTCTGTGATTTTTCAATGCTTCAGTCCTGCCTACACTGAAGCAGATATATGTGGTGGCCCCTTAGGAAAGAAACTTTGTTTGAAATATGCCCGTTCACCCTGCAATGAATGGGTACCTGGTAGGATGAGATGGTAATGTGACTGTGAACCTACAAGTGCCTTGTAAGGCATCTTTGGTTGTATACTGAGAATGAAAACTGAGTGCACACT